TAGATGCTCGAAAGATCCAAATAGAAAGATAAATAAAGAAGACCTTCTTGCTTTTATTTTGTTCGAAGTGCCTTTTGGGCCTGGCCCGGTCAATACCCAGCCGGGCCTTTTTTTGTTCCAACGAATTCCATATATTTATAGGTATAGGAAACATACTCTAAAAAAGATACCCAATTTGGTATCTGTGTAAGAATTTCCATTGTGGGGTTTACATATACTTATCGTTTTTGTTATAATGGAAATTGAAAGGATTAAGAATCAATTAAGTATGTTTTGTAGTTTCTTATGTCATTAGGCAACCCCAATTTTAGATTCAAATCCAAGAATCATTCAGGAATTCTCAGTCAACGAATAGTTAATGGTTCCCATTTGTCATAAATTTTGTGTCATAAATTTTGGCTTTTTTGAATGAAAATATACATTTGATTTTTCAATAGAAAAGTGAGGGGAAGTTTTTCGACATTTTATGTTTTGAGATACTATACAATCAATCGAAGGGGTGGTCAAACAAAAGGGGAAAAGGGTTTCTTTTAGAATTTTTATAAATTTAGAAAAAAAGGATGAAATTAAAAAAGGGATGCAAGTACAATAAACTAAAGTTTAGTAATCCAACCCATAAAATTTTATCTTATTGTGTATCGTTTTGGCGGCATGGCCGAGTGGTAAGGCGGGGGACTGCAAATCCTTTTTCCCCAGTTCAAATCCGGGTGCCGCCTCATCAACAAACGAATCAAAATTTATTATCTGCTGATATAAATCACCCAAATTTTACCCAACAGATAAGGCGATTGTTGATACTTGGTTGATTCTAAACATCTGTTCTGGGGATTTTGTAAAAGATTGGAAATCTTTCAATCTAAAATTCAAATAAAGATTATATTATAATGGTCGAAGCAAGACTTCCCGATTCCCTTCTACTGCTAATGTCTACTGATTGGGTCTTGAATTTCATTGGCATAGCCGCCGGCGGCTAACTAGTTGTGGAAAGTCCTTTATGTAATCTACATATATAGACTCGCGAGAATCTCTGAGTGTTCAGGCATTCAATCACTATTAGATTGAGATTGGATGGATAATTTACTTTTTTATAGAAAAAGTGAAAAAAAATTATTATTTTTTTTGAAACCCCTCGTCAAGAGTATAATATACTATCTCCCAACTGCTTCAGAGAGACAATCGGGAAAGGAAAGGGTACGGATTAGATCAAATAGGAAATAAAAGTATGTAATAGATAGCAATTGATCTATTTGTACTTTGAAGGGCAACAAAGAATGGGCCCTGTTTTTTTATTACTATATGTTCCATTAGTAACATTCCTTTGTAGCGTCATTGTGTATTTTAGTTGTGTTTAGTCTTTCCCGGTTAGAAATCATATAGGAATTTTTTAGAAATGGATTTATTTGATTGGTTCATCAATAGTGTTCGGCCAGAATCCCTTTTTGACTCTGGACCATGGATTCTACTATTATTAGTGAGCAATACAATAATGGAATATTTCTAGCATAAAGATAAGGGACATAATTGACATGGATATAGTAAGTCTCGCTTGGGCTGCTTTAATGGTAGTCTTTACATTTTCCCTTTCACTCGTAGTATGGGGAAGAAGTGGACTTTAGAAGGACTACTAATTTAGTTTAGGAATGAAATGGTATCAATTGTTTTATAGATCGTTCTGCAACGCATTTTTTATTTTTTATTTGAATTGAAATAATTTTCAAATCAAAATTTATTCATTTCGAAATTCCATTGGATTCTAGTGGAGAAATGTATTATATAACAGCAAAACAATTATTTCAGAAAGAAAGAGAATTGGGTCCTACGTTAATTCCATATATGGATTAATCACTACATATATTGAAGATAGAAGCTAATATAGTATACCAACTTTATTAGAAAGTAAAGTACAACTTTATACACTACTATAACACTAATAGAGAGTATGGTAAGAAATTTCTTACCATACTCTCGGATCTCATAGAATACCGCTCATTATAGCCCGTTGATTTCATTTAAAACGCAAAAAAATATTTTGATTTGATTTCTTCAACTATTGATAAGAACTCAGAAGTCAAGTTTCATTTCAAGTAATTAATTATTTTGACTGACTGTTTTTACGTAAATGATAAGTAGAAAAGCAGTAGGAACTAAAATGAACAGTGCAGTAGCAATAAATGCAAGAATATTTACTTCCATAATCTCAATCTCATCGTTTTTTTTTTATTTCACAATAACTCGGGATTTAATCCCATAGAGATGATAAATCTTTCACCTGTCAATTCAATGAATGCATTACCTATCGATGATCTTGAATCGGATCAATATCATGAATAACAATATCTGAGCTATTAAATTAATTCGTCGTCGAGAATTGAATAGTATAACATACGAAGATCTTTTATCCATACCGAATCCAAGATTGGATTCCCGGACCAATCAAAAATTCCTTTATTTATCCTTCTTTTCTTTTCTTTCTTTTCTATAACCTACCCTAGGTCTTCCGTATAGAACCATCAAATGAAGTATCCTCGTCCGTTTCCATTAACTACAAAACGCCAACAAAAAATACAAGCGAAGTGGAAAAAGAGAGGAATTAGGTTGTAAATTTGAATGATCCAATTTTATTTGGAAGACAAAGAAGTATGAGAAAGAGGAGTCGCGGGAGAAAAGATGGAATATTCTATCAACTTCACTGTTTTAGTTATTTTCATTTTATTTTAGTGTTTGTTCTTTCTTCGACAGAATCCTGAAAAAAAGAGGGGAAACCCCTTCGGAATTAAATTATGATCTCTGTCCCTTCTTTCATTTCACATAAACATTTCACATAAAATGGAGAGGTGAATTGATGTACTTATTGGATCCGTCGGGACTGACGGGGCTCGAACCCGCAACGTCCGCCTTGACAGGGCGGTGCTCTTGCCTATTGAACTACAATCCCAGGGAAATAAGAAGAGATCTAACAGAAAATTTGGCTTCTTTTTTATTCTCTCTTATCAGGTATTTCTTAAGAACAAGAGGGTTCTACCATTTGATAGTATATTGGCGAATTTTTGGGCCGAGCTGGATTTGAACCAGCGTAGACATATTGTCAACGAATTTACAGTCCGTCCCCATTAACCACTCGGGCATCGACCCAACGCCTAATTAGACGTTCCATAATCAACTTCCTTTCGTCTACCAGGCGGACTTGACAAATACATTTCACTTTTGATAAAATCCTACTCCTATGGTCTTGGTATACCCCTAGAGGGACTTGAACCCTCGTTTTCTCCGTGAAAGAGAGAGGTCGTAACCACTGGACCATAGGGGCACCAATGGACCATAGGGGCCTATGGCCACCTTTAGGAAATCAAAAAGCACTACACAATACAAATACAATAGGGAATAAGGCCTAAGGCCACCTTAACTTAATATAAATCAGCCGAGGGACACCTTTAGAAGATGAATAGGATATGAATCAAACCGAAAAACTCGTTAACTTTTCTGGGGGTTAATGGTAATCAAACTTTACCATTAAACTATACAATCTTTCAACTTTATTTCATTGGTTTTTCTCGTCTTTATCTCTCTCATTCAGAAAGAGTTTTGCATTGGATCCAAGATACGGTACCTCTGAATCAGCAGAGCAGGAGATGCAAAAAAAAATGATTTACCAAAGTCTGATTTGGGAATTTTATTGAGCCCTAAATCATATCAAAGTCATATCAAATTATATATATATATAAATAATACTGTCAACTGTCAATTGACGACAGGAGGGCAATAAAAAATAAAAGAAGAGAAAAGACATTAGGTATATCCGCTGGGTTCATCAATACAACATTCCTTTAGTTTTATGGTATTAAATATTCAAGTAGATTAGAATATCAATACCGTTTTACATTATAATATAAGAAACTGACGCAGTTTTTATATTATAAAAAAAATCCCAAAGCATAGTAAGACTAAGCAGGAGAATTCTGTTTCTAGGACTGTTTTCTCAATTCCGTTCCATTTGCATCTCTTAAAAATGACAATTTAAATTAAATTGAAATTAAGTATAAATTTGAATTCCACCTATCTCATAGATTCCAGTCAAAGATTCATGGAATCGAAATTCCATCATTGCTATAGGATTTGATGGATAATGAGCCAGCCAAAATGGTATTTCTTTTTTTTTTTTTGTTTTTGGAGAATTCGAGATGGATGAATATAAATAACTGACAATTTCAAAATAATCCGGGATAGACGCAATGTCCACAATACCTGGATTTAATCAGATACAATTTGAAGGATTTTGTAGGTTCATTGATCAGGGTTTGACAGAAGAACTTTCTAAGTTTCCAAAAATTGAAGATACAAATCAAGAAATTGACTTTGAATTATTTTTGGAAAGATATCAATTGGTAGAACCCTCGATAAAGGAAAGAGATGCTGTGTATGAATCACTCACATATTCTTCTGAATTATATGTATCTGCGAGACTAATTTGGAAAAACGATAGGCGTAGGTATATCCAAGAACAAACAATTTTGATAGGAAAGATCCCTCTAATGACTTCTCTGGGAGCTTTTATAGTAAATGGAATATATAGAATTGTGATCAATCAAATATTGCAAAGTCCCGGTATTTATTACCAGTCAGAATTGAACGATAATGGAATTTCCGTCTATACCGGCACCATAATATCAGATTGGGGAGGAAGATTAGAATTAGAGATTGATAGAAAAACAAGGATATGGGTTCGCGTGAGTAGGCAACAAAAACTATCTATTCTAGTTCTATTATCAGCTATGGGGTTGAATATAAGAGAAATTCTAGAGAATGTTTGCTATCCTGAACTATTTTTGTCTTTTCTGAATGATAAAAAACAAATAGGGTCAAAAGAAAATGCTATTTTGGAGTTTTATCAACAATTTGCTTGTGTAGAGGGAGATCCGGTATTTTCTGAATCCTTATCTAAGGATTTACAAAAAAAATTCTTTCAACAAAGATGTGAATTGGGAGGGATTGGTCGACGAAAT